TAAAGTGAACGGACTAAAGCTCTTGAAAGGGTCCACCGAGTTTCTCTCAAGGATACACACAGATTTTTCTGTCGACTAATATTTGTACACGACAACGCCCGTAAAGATCTCGTCGGAGGATTTCACATCAAAGGGAAACACGTGAGTAGGATAAAAAAAACTTGGGAAAATCTTAACGTAGCCCGCGCGGCGTATAAAACTGTTATCTTTACAGGTGCTTGCAAGCACGTATAATTTTCCGTTTTTAACGATTTCAACCGCGTTTTAATGGATTTCAACCGGCACTTTGTACATCTATTCCTGCCGCACTCGCTTCGTGAAAGTAACACATAAAAATGGTGACATTAATTAAACGTTAAGAGTGTTATGAATTGCGGGGCAAAGATGGAGAGGGGGTGAGGGAAGGAGGTAAAAATGCGAAAAATATCTTGCACACGCGATATACCGAGCCTCAAATCGCGGTGAGATTAATCGCGGATACGAATCATGTCGAGGTTCAAGCTTCGGAATGTGTACACAACGGAATGCGAATTAGTCTCTGTTGTTTCCGCAAAGTCTAATCAAATTTCAATTTCAGGGTGATTTATTTGTACAGTGAATTCCCCTCTGCTGTAATTTCAAACGGGTATAGTTGAATTTTTACGAATAAATATTAAAAGAAATTTCAATTTACGATTGAGAAATAGTATTAAATTAATGGATAATAATTGTTGCACAGTAGCTTCAGGTATTAGAGTATGAGCTTTTTGAAATTTACGAAGATTCTAACTTTGAATAAATTTTCTCAACACTTTATGTTTAGAAATAGTGAAGTATTTGACAGTTTAAATACGCGCAGTCGTATATGTTCATTACTCTTTCATACATGAAGCAAATACATATACTATACACACTATCCGTTCACTTCTAATAAATTAAAATTAACTTTCGTTTTAAACACATACTCAACGAAAATTTCAAGGCAATAAAAAGGAAGGAAAAATTCTTCATTTTATTAGGTAAGAAAAAGTTCGCTGCCTTTGGTTTTATAGTCTATAAACTGGCTTCAAACGGACATATATTCCCCCTTTTTAGGTCGTTTACAGATTCATGATAACACTTCGATACATTTTATGGCATCCAAAAATGTGTGGATGAGTTTATTGCATCGAAACCACAAAGTTTCTGCTCCAATGGAATTCGTATGCTACTCGAAATATGGAGAAAAGTAATTGAAAACAGTGGACAATATTTCAATTATCTTGTGAGCATACTTTAATTTTTTTCAAACTGAAGATACAATTTTGCCAAAAGAAAAGAATATTTCAATTATTCTGTGAGTGTATTTCAATTTTTTCAACTAAAGATTCAATTTTGCCAAAAGAAGAATATAAAGAGTATTTCAATTATTCTGTGAGTGTATTTCAATTTTTTAAAAACAAAGATAGAATTTTATTAAAAAAAAGAAGGATGTTTCAATTATCCCGTGAGCGTATATCAATGTTCTAAAGACTGAAGATTTAATTTTGCCAAAATAAAGAATATTTCTATTATCATGCGAGTGTATTTCAATTGTTTCTTAAACAAAGATCGAATTTTACCAAAAAAAAAAAGGAAGCGAACTTCCTTCATCTACCAAAATTGTATCTTGCGAAACAGTTAAGACTCACAGCAGCGAGTAAAATAGAAGCAAAAAAAAAATGTATGTCTAAATCGCCCCATTACTTATCCAAGCGCACAAACTCGAAATGCACGGAATCGAAGGAAGGTCGGGCTGCGATTCGATAACAGAGGCGAACACGCGCGCGTGGCGCATCGATCAAATACGCCATGCACGGATCGAGAGAACGTAATGACCCGTAGGAGAAGCGGGCTACGAGATTATCGGCGACAAGCCCGACAATCATTTCGCAATTACGAATGCAGCGAAACAGAGGGCCGGGAGACGGCGTCGCAACACGACGGAAATAAATCGAGACGTGATTGATCGCCATCCACTGCTCCTCCCTTCTACCTGCTGCTCCTACTCTGCATGGAAACGAAATTAATGCACTGTCAATCGTGCAACGGGCAAAGCGGATAGCGCGCCCCGTGGTTCCCGCGATTTCCGTCTCCGACGCCGGACGTCCAACCTCCAACGTCGATATTTATGCGCCTTTTGCGAGCGGTCCCTTTTTCGCCGTTGAAAAATCGTTACGTCGAAAGAAAACGGAGCCTGCGAGAATTATCGGCGATTTAATTTGAGATTATTTGTATTTTTTCGGAGAATCGTTGTAGATTTGCTGAAAAAACAACGAGGAACGGGATATGTTTTGTAAAAATATTGTTTTACCGGGGGACAGAGAGAAAAAGTTTCTCTATTCGATAGAATTGTGTTTTACGTGCGCACTTGTTACCGTTAATTGCGTTTCGTGTTTATGGACGAGGAACGTGTAGTGCAGCTCGTTCTTCGAATTGTTAGTTCTGTTACTAGTTGCTTGTACCGAAGTATATTTTACGGAGTTGTTAGTCGTGAAAAACAGAAATGTATTTTACGATTTTCAATTCTGAGCAAATGCTGTTCGAATAAAGTTTCCATTCATCTATTTGTTTGTAGGAGTTAAAGTGGTACAGCACTCAAGAAATTTTGTTAATTAAATTATTTTCCAGTAGCATGTACTAGATTTCCATAAATGTTGCACGTTGATCACTCGTTAACCGAGGAAACAAGATTAAGCGACATTTTGTGAGCGAAATGCAAATTTCAATTAAACGAATTAGCAATTATTGGCAATTATTACTATAGTTCATCTGCTATTTCATTTACAACGAGCTATTGCAATTGGCAGGAAAGATTTTAACGCCAAACGAGCAACTTCGATAATGTAATTCGTATTACATTACGTATGCCTGACCATAGACCGACCTCTATCACTTAATCAAGCGTTATTACGTATTTTTCTCCTTTACCTTCAATCCAATCGTACTATTAATCACATTTCATTATTCTACTTTTTCATACATTCCCATATCTGCATTGATCTGTCCGTAAATGGAACCAAAAATTGTTTAAATTAATAAAAATTCACAACTAACACCGCCGATATTGAACATTTCCTACGTATTCCTCGTATCACGATTTTCCTCGTGATTAAATAATCCGCGTACGCCGTGAAATTCAATGAAACAATTTACATGGGCATGATGAATCCGATAATTGAAAAATCCTGCGAATGAAACGATTTGTCTCGAAACGAAAGAATAAAGGAGAAAGCAGAGAGAACGTGTAGAGGGAAATTCTCACAGCGCACGTACCTCTTTTTAACGATTTAATTCTAACATAAACACGGTGAAGCGGCACGCAAGATAAACAGCCGCGAGTTATAAAGCTCGAAAGAGGTCGGGCTTTAATTGGAAAATCGAAATCAAACGGCGAAGCAGCAATACATCCCCCCCCTCTCAGTTTTCGCTCCGTGTTTGAAACGTCTTCGCCCCGGAGCGACGTTCGATTCAGCCCCATTATCCGACGCGACTGCCGATTTCGCGTGCTGTAAGCCAAGAATTCAACAAGCCGATCGAGACGAATCGATTTCCGATCGGATGTCGCGCGAGCCTTCGGCCACGATCCGATTGAGATTGCCCCCGACCGCGGGCTGCATTGTTTCTCGATCGAACGCATTGTTTTCTGTGTCGCAAGCTCGTCGACATCAATCATTGTCTCCGCCACCGACAATTGAACTTTGCCTATCTGTATAGATACAGCCGTGTTTTCGTACACCCTTCACCTATAAAATACAGAATCACGCGTTAATTCGCGTACACCCACGCGAAAAAGGGGGAACACAGGTTCCTTCGGCGAAGCGTGATTAAAACGCAGCTTTTTTCGAACCGTTCGCCGAGGGATTTGTCTGGATTATGAAACATACTTTTTTTTTTTGTTTTTTT